AGGTCTATAGTGGTATCATTGCCCACTTCTGTATAACGTATTAAAGATGAATTTTGATGGAAGAAGCATTGGTAATCCTGAAAAGTTAAGGATTGGAGGTACCATCAGAAATCATGAAAGGAATCCCTCCAGTTAAGGATAAAGCTAGCCAAGCCCATTAGGGTGAAGCCCAGCCTCAACCAACCTCACATGTGGAAGATCCTTCTAGTTCAGTGCACCTAAAAGATAAGGCCGCGTCGAAACTGGATTCAGTCAGTGCAAGCCCAATTCGAACAGTTTTTATAGCCTTGCATTGGGAATATCTTCCCATGAAATAAAGCACAGAAGTATGGAGATGTTCCTAATGCAAAGCTGTAAAGGCTGTTCGAACACCGTTCGAATGGAGTTTGCACTGACTGAAGTTGATCTTGGCCGTGTCAGCAAGCTTTTAAAAACCCATATAATGGCAGGATAGAACAGAATGATTGTAGCTAATTAAGACATGAAGCTATAAATAAGTAGTGAAGGAGAATAGTACCATAGTTGTCAAGGCGATGCCTAGGTGACAAGGTGCCCTTTGAGGCTCGCCTTGCCTAATCGCCAAACAGTTTTGTACTATGTATTGTAAAATACGTTTTTATTCTTTATTTTTTGACATTGTAATTATAAAATAGGCACTATTAAACTAAAATATTCATTTTTTGTATTTATATACTAATTTCTTTTTATTATTTTCTTATTTGTTAGGATTTCATCAATACAAACATTGCTAAATTCTGTATTGAACCGTCAAAGACTTTAAAACCTGAACCAATAAGGAAGAAGTTAAAATTTTGTCTAATCAATACATTTTCTACTACTACTACTACTACTTTTTCTTTTCTTCTTTTCCTATAACAAAAATAAAGGGTTCAGCCCCTATATTTTTTGAATTTTCTTTCCCTTCTTTTTTTTTCTTCTCATGAATATGTTGATTTTCTTAACTTTAACATGAACTTTATACTTTTCTTATGAAAATTATGAATAATTATTAAGGAAATATGGCTATGGTACCTAGGGAACTACCCTAGGATCTATGATTTCTATATAAAAAAATCCATTGCCTAGGTGCCCGCTTAGGCAACTAGGCAACAAGGTGCCCCCTTGATGCCCAGCCTCGCCTTGGCGCCTTGAAAACTATGAATAGTACTATAGTAGAGAATCAAGACTTTGAATCCACATGTTCGTCCTCTTCTTTCCTCTATATTCTAGAAGTTGGTTCCTCGAATAAACCCTAAGTTAGGCAGTGACCTAACATTTGGTATCAGCGCTTGGTTAGGGAATAAGAAAAAATGCCTACCACCAAATCTTCTTCATTGATGGAAACATTATCTACTACTATGGCAAGGTTCGATCAGATATGCAGGCCGGTGGCAAGGAATCTAAGCAAGAGGGGTCAATCCATAGCAGTGGGCACTGTGATGGGCACTGGCTAGGTAAGAAAACTAGACTCATCCTTCTGACCTCCAACGATGATCTGATTCCCTAGATTTATCGTAAGGAGAGGTATTTTGAGTATACCGAAATACCTGGACCAGATTGGGTCGCCTTAGCCTCAATTCATCTTGAAGGTGAAGATATTCTCTAGTACCACTGGTACTGAAGTTCAAACTCAAGACTTACATGGCCAAACTTTATAGAGGCATTATGTATACACTTTGGTCCCTCCAACTTTGAAGACTTTGATTAAAGTCTATCTAAGCTTTGATAGACTAGTTATGTGCAAGATTATCAAGTCGAGTTTGAGTGCTTGGCCATTCAAGTGCAAGGATGGTTGGCAAGTTGTCCTGACACCAAACGCTTTACTACAGGGTGGTGTGTCTTCATGAGTGATTCCCTCATTTCCTAGAAATGTAAGAAACAACAAACAGTCTCCAAGTCCTCTACATAAGCAAAGTATAGAGATATGTCATCTATTTGTAGTGAGATTGTTTGGCTACAATCCCCCTTTGATGATCTTGGTGTTCACTTTATCCAAGACATGTTTCTTGTTGGGTCTATTTTTCTTCCTCATGTGGCTTCATGATGAGGGAAAGACATCTATTTCTTGTGGGCAAGTTGATGCTTATGACTTCATATCAGATTGCGGGGGAGTGTGGAGATTATTGATGTACTATGATATTATAGCCCCCACTATACTGTGTATTTTATTACTTTATTTCTTCTCTATCAACCCTATAAGGGCTTTCTTGTAATCCTTTTGGCCCATAAGGGCTCCCTGAAACCTGGAATTAGACTCTCTCTTATTCATCTTATTGGCACTAGTAAACCTCCTATGTTTGAAAAACCTGAAGAGATTATTTGTGAATATTGCAAGAAGCTGAAGCACACCAAGGATAGGTGTCGGAAATTGAATCCATATTTGAAGCCTAAGAAGTTTAAAATTGGAAAGAAGGGAAATGCTCATGTTGCTACAGGGAAAACCTCCCGCTTAGGCACTTACTCATGACACTTTTGATGTGATGGACAAACTGAGAGTCATCTTACTTTAACTTGAAAAGAGTGGGTTGCCTACACCTGCTGGTTCACATACACCTTCCAGTGCCTTTGCAAAATCATGTATTGCACTTGCGTGCTGTTATAATTCAGGTCTGCCTTAGAGTTCAGCCTGACTGAGTTCAGTTATGTAGAAGAAGAAAAAGTGATAAAGAAAGAGAGAGAGAGAGAGAAAGAGAGAAGAGAGAATTCTGGTTCAAACTGAAAGAGTCAACATGACTTCTCCCAATCGGCCAATAAGCATTTATATTATTATTAAAACATGACTGAATAGACCTATGTGCCTTTACTTAAGTTAAGAGCACATGTTTCAACACAACATTACAGATCAGCAACATCAATCAAGGTATAAAGACAGAAATACCCCTACGCTAACACGTGCCATTCCTCATCCCCTAGCTCTTGGATAACTGACACAGGAGACAATGATCGTATGACTGGTATGCCTTCCTACTTCACCACTTAAAGATTATTTCAAGAAAAGGTAAGATTACCATTGCTGATGGATCTCAGACTCCAATCTCAGGTTTGGGTGAAGTTAAACTTACCAAGGGACTTTATCTGAACTCTATATTCCATGTTCTACAATTGCATAGAAATCTTTTATCTATTAGTTCATTTTCCAAATTTCATAATTGTTCTATAACCTTCTTTCCATCTCATTGTGTCTTTCAAGATCCAAGTACAAGGAAGACAATTGACAGTGGACATGAAGCCAATGGAGTTTATCTTCTTGATCAGTCTTCAAAGTTAGGGTTAATGTGACAGTCTGAGTCTTGTATGATGAGAAATTAAGTCAATTGAAATTGTGGCATCACCATCTTGGGAATATGTCTCTTGGTTCACTGAAGTTTTATTTGTTTCCTAGTCTATTTGGGTCTTTGTCTAGTTCTGGTCCATAGTGTGAAGTTTGTCAACTATCAAAGCAATGCAGAACCACATATTTTGCAAGTAACAAAAGAAATAATATCGATTTTCATTTAATACATACCGGCTTGCAAGAGCCAGGATGAAGTACCTTCAATTGTTAAAAACTTCTTCAGTATGGTAAAGAGACTTAGTTTGAGAAGAAGATTGAGATTATCAGATCTGATAATGCCAAGGAATACTTCGAGAAGCACTTGCAAGCTTTCCTTGAAGAGAAAGGAGTAATTCACCAGAGTTCATGTCCTCATACTCTCCAACAAAATGGGGTATTAGAAAGAAAAAACAAACATGTGGTTGAAGTGGTCAAAGGATTGTTATTTCAAATGCATGTTCCAACTTGATTTTAGGGTATGTTGCCCAAAAACTGCATATCTTATTAATAAACTTCCCTCACGAGCCCTTCATCTCCAATCTCCTCATCAGCTTCTTTTTCCTAATGAGGATGCCTTCCATCTCCCTCTCAAGGTCTTTGGGTGAATCTGCTTTGTCCATGACATTGAGTCCTTCTAGGTTGAAATTTKACCTGAAGTCTATCAAGTTTGTCCTCTTGGGATGTTCTTCAGTTCAAAAGGGGTACCATTGCTATGATCCTTGTTCTGCTAAGAGATATGTGTCCAAAGATGTCACCTTCTTTGAGTCTACTCCCTTCTCCTCCCCTTGTCCTTCTCTTCAAGGGGAGAATGTTAGTAAAGATCAAACTCCTTTTTGTATGTCTATTACTGTGTTGGCTAGAACTGATATTGTTGTCCCTCCTCTTCCTCTCTCCTACTAGTGGTGGTAGTAGTGCTCCTCCTGTGCCTCCTTCTTTGTTGTTTCCTATTCCTCAGTCTTGGCACCAATGGTTCATTAGACGAAAAAAGAGGATGACTCTAGAGATTGAATGCCCATTACAATCTAACTTCCCAGACTTAGATAATTTGGAACCTGAACCTCTTCTTGTTTTGATGCTTGTGTTGACTCTGTTGTTGAGCTTCCTAATGTGAGTTTTGACCTTGGCCTCCCTTGGAAATGAACTAGACATGTAACCTATGATATGAAAATAAGGGTGCAAGTTGGGCCAATTTGGGTTGAGAATTTATCAAATCTTCAACATGCTTGAGCCCTAACCCAAGCCTGATGTAATTGAAATTCTTGAAGTCATGGAACCTCACTTGCAGTCCTTATATACAAATATGAATACCAATACAGACATGGATGTACAAGAAATGGGGATAAAACTCTATATTTTCTTTGTAGATATAGATATCCTATATAATACACTTATTCAATTATGTCATGCTTCTAATATCTATTTCTATGTATCTACTTCATGAATCTAAGTTGCATTCATCAATACTTATGTCTTGCCAAATTTGATTAAATTTAAAACAAATTTTAGAGTATGCTTTGGTAAAACATATAAAACATACCACTTTACATATTTCAAAAATGTTAATGCTATAATGTATATCTAAAAGGGTCCATGTGGTACTCAGTGTCATGAGTATGTATCGAGTCCAAGAACAAAATCAATCAAAGACAAATAACACAAAATCAACAGAATGAAGAACGAAATTTACAAGGCTACCAAATCCAATGTATATAGGCTTTGGACCAGCTTTCAGCCATTCTACAAGTTCTGTTGGAGGTTCATAATTTGATGAAAGGTCAAGAAAGCAAAAACCAGCTACATCAACCTTAGGTCCCCAATCTGAAAACAAATTAATTAAAACAGAAGTTTAAATAAAAGGAAAACAACTACCAGCAGAAGGAACGCAACCTCACAAATAAAAGAAAGAATTGAATTGAAGAAAAAAACAGAAGCATTAGCGAGATATAATGACATGTACTCAGCTACAAACTTTACATAGAGGACATAATGCAGGCAGAAATCACAGCTCCAAAATATTTGAATAAACATATCATGAATATTTTTCTACCCTTCCATATTATCGAGGCAACACCTTCAATTACAAGATAACAAAATGCATCTACTCCACACTAAAAGGTGAAAGCAATGGAAATATACACCAATATTCTAGGAAATAGCAAAAGATGCAAGATAATATAATCGTATTCCAAACTACTTACGGACAATCATTTAGAAAAAGTAAACAAGTTAGTCACAGAAAAGTATTCATTGGTGTGAATATGGTACTCCAACAATAATACCTGAAATCTTACATTATCTAAAAATTTGACCGTAACCAATGTTTTGAAAATCAGACTAGGCATAAAACCAGAAAGGGGTTGTGTTCTTGTTTTTTCCAAGTTTAACTGACGGACTAAAAACCAATCTAGGCATAAAACCAGACAAAAAAACAGCTGGTTTTCATTGAACTGCATCGGGGTCCAGTCTACTTTTGAAAATATTAATAGCAATGTAATCCAAGTCAAGAAAAAAGTCAAGACATCTGTAGACCAAGTTTTTAAGATAAAGCAGCTTCTTCATCATCATCATATAAGCCTTATCCAAACAATGAGTGCTTAATACATTGTTAGATTAAGAGTGCTTATGTCATTTCATAGCAATTCAACTCATGTCCCTTTTGTCTGCTCCTATCCCTTCTGGCCCATTCAACTTGTAACTGGTCTTTTTTTTTTCTTATGGCTGTTGTAGGTGGTCTTCTATGCACATGACCAAACCATCCAAGTTTACTTTCTCTCATTTTATCACCTAACCTATTGGAGCTACTCCTAAGTACCTTCAAATGACTTCTGTTATCAGGCCTGTATTTAATTAAATAAATAAAAAGAAGGCTTTTGGTATGAACCTAAAAGGAGAAGGGATGAAGAAGAAGAAGAGGAGAATAAGGGTCAAACAGAATAGGGCTCTGCATTTTCTATCGAAGAAGAGAATTGCCGCCCAGAATGATTAATTCATAATGAAAGGTAAAATTACACTATTACCCCTGTATACAAATGCTTGAGAATAGAGACAAAAAAACACTGATTTAAAGAAGGGAAAAGACTAAAATAACCCTAAAAACAAAGCTGTATTTTAACACTCCCCCTCAAGTTGGAGCATATATATCATACAACTCCAACTTGTTACAAATGTATTTCATCTGAGCACCACTCAAGCCTTTGGTAAACAAATCAGCTAGTTGATCTTCAGGCTTCACATAT